GTATTAACAAGGACTTCCAGCTACGTACATAGCTAATACAGGCAGACATCTGCCCATGGAGAGACACAGACGTAAAACATACAGATCGAATGTCCTCTGGTGAGCGATTTTTTTTTTTTTTTTAGTTTCTGTATAGCCATAGATAGTTATTAGTAAAAGTTTAGTTTTAGACCTATAACGTTCAATATGGTCAAGCCCTTTATCTTTTATCAAGGAAACAAGTGAACCAATTTTAAGCATTAAGTCTGTTTCATTCACTGTGAATTAAGTAGTTGGGTATCATGATGAAGAATTCTATTGAGTAATGAAAAGATGGCTTAGGACTGGCTGTTCTTCCAGAGGTCCTGAGTTCAATTCCCAGCACCCACATATCAGCTCACAACCATCTATAATTGTAGTCCCATGGGATCCAATGCCCTCTTTTGGTATGCAGATATACATGCAGACAAAATGTCCATATACATAAAATACACAAATAAAGAATTTTTTTAAAGAAATTCTATTGAACAACAACAACAACAAAAAGAATGGCATGTATAAAATCCAAATGGCTTTTTAACAATTATTCCAGTGTCCAAGAATTAAAAAGAAAGTTTGGATAGCTGGACTTCTTTCTAAGATTTATTTCTTTTATTTTGTGTAGGGGGTGTTTTGCCTACATAGATGTCTGTGCACCATATATATACCATGGTGCCTAAGGCTGGATTCCCTGAAACTGGAGTTACAGATGATTTTTAGCCACCATGTGGTGCTGGGAATCGAACCTGGGGCCTCTGGAAGTGCAGCAAGTGCTCTTAACTGCTAACCCATGTCTCCAGGCCTTTCTTTCATTTTTAGTAAATAAATACAGTAAGAATCCCAACCTATTGTATCTACTTTCATGAAATAACACAACTTAAGGTATTTTGCACTCAAAACATTATTTCTTTCCAAAACAACTGTGTCTATTTTCTGAATGTATGGTTTTAGGCATATCAAATATGTCTGTGTTATTGTCACTCATTTATTTAGTAAACCAATACTCAGTGGATACTTATTAAATGTTAAAAGGCAAGCCAGGTGTGGTAGTGCACACCTTTAATCTCAAAACTCAGGAGCCAGAGGCAGGCAGATTCCAGTGAGTTTGAGGGCAGCCTGATCTACATAGTGAATTATAAAACAGTCAGGACTATGTAGAGATATTCTGTCTCAAAAAACAAAAAAGAGAAAGGAAAAGAAGGAAGGGAAGGAGGGAGGGAGAGAGGGAGGGAGGGAAGGAGGGAGGGAGGGGAGGAAAAGAGTCTGTCATGGAGCTTAGCGCTATCTGGAAATGGAGCATGCACCTATTTAAATTATAGCTACTTGAGATGGATAACACTTGGATTATACAGAACATATCTACCCACATCTGTGACCTCAGAAACGGTATCCATTACTACATGACATGTAAACTCAGGCAATAAGGAGGACCAGGAACTAGAACAAGATGGAAAGGAAAGCATGCACAGAGGCCATCGAAGGCCATCTGGATGGAGACACAGACAATGTGGCTGGAGCACAAGGAGGAATCAGCTACAAAAAACAACAATATTAGGAGTAAATGAAGGAACTATAAGAGCCTGGAAGGTCAACAGAAATCAAAATTCACACTACACATCTTGAGTATATACAATTCCAATTTGATTCTAATAATTCGATTAACAATGAGATACCCTATAAAAGAAAAGGAGGCAACCAGGCCTCTGAGATCAGGCTAGCTACTCACGGAAAACTAGAAAGGAAGGGAGGAAAAGGAGAACGAAAACAGCTCATAGCTGGTTACTGTGCTCCACGTGTTTAAAGACAATATTCCAAAGAAGGTAGAATGAAAACTCTTAAGCCAAATGTAGCGCTAGCCTGGGGTAAAGACTTTCCTAACACATTATTCGCTGGAGAAACACACGCAGTGCTATAATCAGTTCAAAGGAGAATTGAAAGAGCTTTAAGTCTGCAGGCAGAGAAAAGAATTAAATATATGTGCAAAAATGCATAAACTGCTCTACGGGTAATAATCAATTTCTTTCCTTCTAATCTTCATCTTTATGGATGAGAATAATGTGTATCATCTATTTTCTACAATGTATAGGGTCATAAAGTAGCTTATAAATAACAAAATGTAGGACTGAGGGTGGGGCTACATTGATAGGGTGCTTGCCTACCATGCATGAAGAGTTAGGTCCAAACCCCAGCCCCTCACAAATGGGGTGTGGTGTTCAAGGTCATCCTCAGCTACATAGCAAGTTTGAGGCCAGCCTGAGATACAGGAGACCCTGTCTCAAAATAATAATAACAAGCTGGACAGTGGTGGCGCACACCTTTAATCCCAGCACTCGGGAGGCAGAGGCAGGCGGATCTCTGTGAGTTCGAGGCCAGCCTGGACTACAGAGTGAGTTCCAGGACAGGCTCCAAAGCTACACAGAGAAACCCTGTCTCAAAAAACCAAAATAATAATAATAATAATAATAATAATAATAATAATAATAAATAAAGATAATAATAGTAATGATGGTAATAATAATAACAAGAAGAAAGAAGAGGAGGAGGAGGAGAAGTCAAATTAACAAGTAATAGAAGGTAGAGTTAGTCCAGATGGCTAAGCTGAACAAAGTATCTACTAATATTTTTTTCCCAATTTTACAACTTGGATGATGTTTTCTAATATACACAATAGTGACTTAGAAGAGGAAGGTGTCAGTGAAGACAGAGAGTGAGCAAACACTGGATGCATGCATGTGTAAGAATTAACAAGATGGCACTGGTTATCTGATTGACACTCTGGAGAAGGGGGGGCCAGGAGTGAAATGTCCAACTAGATGCCTGTTTTAAAACAAATTCCTAAATGGCAGAAGATGCCATTGATGTCTGTTTGGATTTCTCATCATGGGGTCCTATAGTGAAAGGAGCCAGCAGACACACAAAATAATATTTCAGAGTTCATTGAAATATTTGCCAAAAGGCCTAGGTAAAAAGAAATAAATAGGGCGGTGGTGGCGCACGCCTTTAATCCCAGCACTCAGGAGGCAGAGCCAGGCGGATCTTTGTGAGTTCAAGGCCAGCCTGGACTACAAAGTGAGTTCCAGGAAAGGCGCAAAGCTACACAGAGAAACCCTGTCTCGAAAAACCAAAAAAAAAAAAAGAAATAAATAAATAAGTTTATTCTCTTCAACAGGACTATAGATAGATAGATAGATAGATAGATAGATAGATAGATAGATAGATAGATAGATAGATAGATGGATAGATGGATGGACATGGATAGATAGATATAGATAGATGGATGGATGGATGGATGGATAGATAGATAGATGATAGATAGATAGATAGATAGATAGATAGATAGATAGATAGATAGATGATGGATAGATGGATAGATGGATGGACATGGATAGATAGATATAGATGGATGGATAAATAGATAGAAAGACAGATAGATAGAAGGATGGATGGATGGGTGGATATGGATGGATAGATAGATACAGATGGATGGATAGATGATAAATAGATAGGTAGGTAGATAGACAGACAGACAGATAGATAGATAGATAGACCTCAGGATTATCCAATGAGGCTGCACAGACATGGGAATGCAACCTTTCCCAGCCCAGCCAGAGTTAAGCTGCAAAGGAATCCATGGAAATCTCCCTGTCTACAAACATGCCGTACCCTCTCTACCCACCCGCAGACTAAACCCAGCAGAAGGAAGGAAAACAGAACATGGATGAAGCCTGTGGCCCCGTCCAGAATTCTCCCTCATTACATTCACATCTTCATCATGTCTTGAATAAATTCCTTCTAGGCTTTGATTTCTTGCTGGAAACAATCTACAGAGGAAGTTTCCAAAGTCATCCCACTTTTGACCCTTTCTCTAAACAAAACAAGACTTTGCAGCTTCTCTGAGAGCACAAACCCAGCATGCTAAGCACTGGCCATAACCTCTATTCTCCTGGAAGGAACTATGAACTGCCCAGGACAAATAGATGAGATTAAAGCCCCCTTTGATACTACAAAATAATGACACAGTTCCATGAGGTAGAGAGATTTCTGTACCTTCTTACAAATGCACATATTTAAATATCAACTTCATTAAGTAACCTGTTGTGGTCTACTGGAATCTGTGTTATTGGGGTCTCTGAAACTGTCAAGGACCATCAACAAAAAAAAAGTTTCTCTTCCACTATTCATTCCCAAATGTCTCTGTCACCCTGCATCCTCTTTCTTGTTACTTTCACTGATCCGACTGCTGCACCCCATTCTCAAGAAATTCACTCAGTGTTAAATGTTGCCTCAACCAAGGTCTCCCAAGACTTTGAAAATGATCTCTAACATTTAATACCACGGCAATTCTTTCCCTAGTGAGTGCTTGATGCTGTTGAAAAATCACACCTGCTTCACTAGTTCCAGCATAGAAAATAACCATGACCTCAGGAATAACCAGGCTGGATGATCCCCACACGTGAGCTCTCAGGAGACTGCGGAGAAGCAGCTCCACCAGCGACACACTCTCGGCCACTAAAACTGCTGAGAATGTGGCACGTGCCCATACGGAACTGAATGTTGTCAAGCCCATGCCCGAGGTTCCTTGCAACTACAGAATCAAACCATCTAAAATTTACCCAAAAAACAACTATCAGTACTTTAGAACTATTGGCTAATTAATTACATTTGGAACCATTGTGAAACCTCTCACTTCACCATGCTCTAACAGCCCCCCCCCAAAAGAAATACTGAGCATGTTGCTGATTATTCTCCGATGGTTAGAAATGCTGAGAAAGAGCAGATCTCTGAAGGAAAATGAGGAGGGATCATGTGATTTAGCCACGTTCACAGGTAGAAAAGTCTACCGTCGCTGCACAGGGCAGAAAGGCTGCCCGAGTTTTCATGGTTAACTGTGCTAAAGGAACTGGCCATCCTTTTCAGCCACATGGACACAAGTCAGAAAGAGGCATTGGCAATGCAGTAAAAGCCACCTAAGTCTCGGTTACCTTTGAAAATCGAGCGTTTATCCATTTGGTAAAGGTTTTCTTCTGAACGTCATTGTGTTCATCTGCAGGAGAGAAAGAGAAAAACGAAAACCGGATGAGTGTTTATACGGCTGGAGGGTGTGATAAATACAACCATCTCCTTCCTGGGGAGCTTAAAATAGTCATTTATACAGAATAGGGCAAAGGACACAGCTAATAATGAACCCATAGATGGGACCCAATGTCTACAGCAAAGTGAGACTCCGTCACCTCTCCCAAAGAATCTGGCGGTCCCTACTAAACCCAAGTGGCTCACACCCAGTTATGAGACCCAGGATTGTGTAGTACAATCCAGACCTTCCTTCACAACTATACATGTAACATTTTCAGTTGCATTTTAAGTATAATATCAAACATGATAAACACATTAACGTGTATGATGGTTAGTTTTAAATGTCAGCGTGCCATAATCTAGGATGATCTGGGAAGAGAGTCTCAATGAGAAAGTATATACAACAGGTTGGCCTGTGGGAATGCGTGTGGGGAATTGTCTTGACTTTGCTAATTGAGGTGGGTGCCGCACTGTGGGTGAACGGCATCATCCAGTTTGGGGTACCAGACTATATGGTGGTATTTTATTTGTACTGAAATGTGATTTTAATTGTATGTTAATAAATAAGCCGGGCGGTGGTGGCGCACGCCTTTAATCCCAGCACTCGGGGGGGGGGGGGGGGGGGGGGGGGGGGGGGGGCAGAGCCTGGCGGATCTCTGTGAGTTCGAGGCCAGCCTGGGCTACCAAGTGAGTCCCAGGAAAGGCGCAAAGCTACACAGAGAAACCCTGTCTCGAAAAACCAAAAAAAAAAAAAAAAAAAAAAAAACCAGAAAAAAAAAAATAAATAAAGTTGCCCGGGGGTCAGAGCTGTTAGAGCCATAGCAAAAGCTGGGCGTTGGTGGTGCACGCCTTTAATCCCAGCACTTGGTAGGCAGAGCTAGGTAGATCTCTGTGTGTTCAAGGATACAGCCAGCATCGGAGACACACGCCTTTAATCTCAATACCATAGAAGACCTGGAGGGCTGTACATACAGGCAGTGACGAGGCAGTCAAGTGTTTGGGTTTACAACCAATGAGAAGGCAGAACAGAAAGTCTATATAAAGACAAACAGACAGGAAGTAGGTCTCTAGCTGCAGCAGGCAGGTAAGGCTCTTAGCTCTGATCTCTTGGCTTTCTTCTTTGCATTGGTTCTGTATTTCTTATTTAATAAACGGTTGGTTACATCTACAAGACTATATAAAATTGGAGACAGCAAATTAAACAGTAGACATGTGGGCATTGGTTCTCTCTTTGCTCTTGACTGTGGATCTGTTTGGCTGCTTAAAGCTCTTGCCTGAATCCCCACAATAATGGCCTGTAACCAGGAATTGTAAGTCAAATAAACCGGTGGCAGGAGACCCCACAGAGCATGGCATCTGACTTGGATTCCAGAGTGTTGCATCTGACTTGGAGTGTTAGCATCTAGGCTTTGAACTGTCTTCTGGGATGTTACCTTTTGTTCCTGACACTATTTGAAGTGTTTGATTCTTATCTGAGTTCTTCCTGAAGGGGTCAAGGCCTTTGTAAACTTGGTTGTGAGAGGACTGGGAAAACCAAGAGGTCTCCTGACTGAGAATTGCTCCGGCCTTTGGTTCCTTCAAGGGACTCCAGGTAAGAGATTTTGGTATGCAGAAATTGACTTGCTAAAGTGTGAACTGTATAACAATAAAAAAGGTCTTTTACAAAGAAACAGGCAATGAGTTCACAAGAAGCAGGCTCTCCTGCTGCTGCTAAGACAAAATGCATCCTGAAGTGACCCTAATTCTTCAACAGACCCACAGAAAACAGAACATAGACATAACCCTTCCAGGCAATGAAATTAGACCAACATGTTCACCCAAAAATTTACCCAATAAAAACTTAAGAGTTCATCACTATTCCTTCTTCACAGAATTCCTACACCTTCTAGAACAAAAGGGAGTGTAAGATTTCTAGTCAGTTCTCTAACCCATTTTCCTTTCCTCCCTCAAAAAAAAAAAAAATACTGACATGGAGTCATGGTGATTTTAAGCTTATAAATATTTTAACATTTAGTTGTATTATGTTTATCTATGTATCTAAGTGTGTCTATGTCTTTAACCAATCTCCAATTTTCAACTAGAACTAACTAAAGTCATCATTGGTTGAATACCTGTAAAGTAGCATGTTAACTACCTGTAAGTAGTTCTGAAAGCTGTCTATATTTGGAATAGTCTAGGATGTTGTGGGTCCATTTAAGAGCCTGATCTACTTGCTACCAGCATACAGCCAGGCTGCAGAGGAAGAGGCCTGTGTGTTCTACCAGCCATGCACACACATCACATCCACCAGAAAGGGACTTTTCTTGGCAAATGAGGACCCTCTCTAATAAATAAGATTGCATCTAGTGCTATAGTTTGGGTAAAGGTGGTCCACTCAAAGAACCATGTATTAAAAGACTTCCTTCCCTTTGGCTGCATTGGGAGAAGTGGAAGGTTCAGCAGAGCAAACTTTCTTAAAGGTCCTTGAATCACTGGGGAAATGCCCTTGAAGGGAATTACAGGACCCCCTGCTTCTTCCTCTTCTGTTCTTGGCTTCTTTGTCATTTGCTCTGTCCCACTCCCCTGGTACAGAAACTAGAGGTCCAACCTACAGGTCTACTCAATGATAGACTAGAATCTTCAGATCTGTGAGGTCGCATAAACTCTTTCTCCTATATGTTAACTATCTGTCCTGGTTAGTATTTTTGTCAACTTGAACAAGGTACAGTTATCTGGGAAGAGGAACCTCAATTGAGAAAATGCTTCTATCAGAGTGCCCTATGTGCAAGTCTGTAGGGCAGTTTCTTGATTAATGATTAATGTGGGAAGGCCAAGCTCACTATGGATAGTATCACCCATGGGCAGCTGGTTATGGAATATATGAGAAAACAAACTGAGCAAGCCAGTAAGCAGCACTCCCCCATGGCTTCAACTTTAGTTCCTGCTTCCAAGTTCTTACCTTGAGTTCCTGCCTGGACTGTGACCCAGAATATGAAAGCCAACATTGTTTTTGCTCATGGTGTCTTTAACTTTATTTCATAGTTACAGATAATACTGGTTAACACATCAGCTTTGTGATAAACTTGTGTTCTAGCGACTTATGGAAGGTGTAGTGATCTGAATGAAAATAGTCCCCATTGGGTCAAATGTCTGACTACTTAGTTCACAGATGGCGGAACTGTTGGGGAAGGATTGGGAGGTGTGGCCTTGTTAGAGGAAGTGTGTCATTTGGAGATGATCTTTTGGTTTCAAAGCCCACACCATTCTGTTAGCTCTGTCTGATTCCAGTTAGAAATGGGAATGTAAGCTCCCAGATACCACTCAAGCACCATACTGGCCTACTGCCATGGTCCCTGCCATGCTGGCCATGAATTCTAACCCTCTGGAACTGTGAGTCCCAAATTAAATGCCTTCTTTTATAAATTGCTTTGGCCATGGTGTTTTGTCACAGCAACAGAAAAGTAACTAAGACAGAAGGATAATTTATAATTAAAAGGCCATTCCTGTGATAAATATAACAGCTCTAAAAAGGAGTGTAAGTTTACAGATCCATAAAGGAAATTGGAGACCAACCCCAACGCACAAAGGGAACAACAGTATGAAAGGCCACTGCTCTCTAAGAAACTTCTTGATGCTAATGGTGTTGAAAGGTGACCTCCCTTCCCAGAAAGGACAATGGAGACAGCCATCAGCCCTTATTTCAGCCTTATACATTACCTGATCAATGCCCCATACTCATTAACAAGGAGACTTGCTTACACCCGCAGAATGTCCCAGCCCTTTATCATAAAACCCCAGAAGGACAGAGCTGACAATGTAGCCAGAGCACAAGGCTATATGGGATGTATCTACCTGCCAACGGACACTACACAGGCCTGGCTGAAGGAATTTAACTTTAAACATCTGTGTGCAGGGCACTTAAAAAAACCTAATAATTGGTTCCACAACTCTAAAGAAGGTTGAGGTTTGTAAGTTTTGTTGTATCCACTATCCTTTAATCCTATAAGAAATAGAAAGTTCATAAATAAATTTTCTCTTACTTTCATAATGTCCACACAAAGTAAGAATCCTTGACAAAAATAAAATGGGGAAAATACTAGCAGAAATATAACTGCATTTTATTATTTAACATATTTCAAAGTTTCAGCTTTCACAAACATATTCAGTCTAGAGATATGGACCAATGGCAGCAAATGTGCACAGTACAGCCAAGGCTCTTCCAATCTCCAGATGGGTGGGTGATGGAGAGTAATTAAAGTATCTAATAATGCACAGTTTTTCTCTATAGGTTGGCCAAAGAAAGGATTACCTGCCACTTTACCTTTCTATATCATCAGTCACAGAATAAAATAAAATTTAAAAATAAAGTCCCACATTAAGAGCCATAAAAATAAGGAAACATTTCTTCTAACATAGGCTATGACTTTTTTTTTTTTTTTTTTTTTTTGGTTTTTCGAGACAGGGTTTCTCTGTGTAGCTTTGCACCTTTCCTGGAACTCGCTTTGGAGACCAGGCTGGCCTCAAACTCACAGAGATCCGCCTGGCTCTGCCTCCCGAGTGCTGGGATTAAAGGCGTGCGCCACCACCGCCCGGCCATAGGCTATGACTTTTTAGTCAAATCAACACCAATATACACCTCAGTACCTAATATGAAATGGAATGTTTGGCCATAAAAAATAACATCCAGATGTTCAAAAAAATACTCCAAAAATGTATAAACATCCTTTATTTATTTATTTTTATCTGCGGTAGTTTGAAAGAAAATGGCTCCCAAAGGGAGTGGCACTATTAGGAGGTAAAGCCTTGCTGGAGGAAGTGTGTCACTGTGGGGGTGGGCTTACAGGTCTCTTTGGCTCAAGCTTCCCTCAGTGTGACAGTCAGTCTACTTTCTGTTGCCTACAAGATGTAGGACTCTCAGTTACTAGTCCAGCACCAAATCTGCCTGCACTCCACCATATTCTACCATGATGATAATGGACTGAACCTCTGAAC